TTGAATTTTTCTGAATTATTTCACTTATCACAAACCTCTGAGGTGCATTTGTTGGGAGTGACCAAATGCGGAGATTTACTGAGGGACTGGATAAGGGCAGTAATAAATCAGGCCTTGCATCCAGGGGTGATAAGGTAGTAATAAATGGGGCCTCGCATCTAATTAACAGGTTCTTGCGTTGGGATGGGACTAGATGAAGGTGACAGCGAACTGGGCCTCACATCAAGGACACAGCGACAAGTCACCCCTTGGGAATCTGAGTTTAGCATCTATATAAGAGACCTCCCCCCCTATAGGGCAGTAGCTGCGGCCCCCACCCTGGGGGCTCCGTCTCAGCTGCTGTCCCGGAGCAGTAAACTCTGCTCGCTCCGCCTTTCTGCCTCCCGCCTTCCTCCTTGCGGCCGGTCACAGAGTTGGGACAAAACAGCATTCACATCGTCAAATGGTTGTGTTGCCTTCTTTTTCGTGGCTACATAATATTCTACCAACAGTCTATGTGTTTTTATGTAAATACGTGCAGAAAGACACACGTGTATAGGTCACATGTGTATATATGCACACGTACACACACACACACACAGATCCCACATTTTCTTGATTCCCCTGTTGACTGACCAGCACTTAGGTTGTTTCTGTATCTTTGCTATTATGAATAGTGATGTGGTCAGCGTGGGGTTTCCTTTTGAACTGGGGTGTTCAATTCCTTTGGACATGTCCTCAGACATAGAATGGCTGGATTATGTGGTGATCCTGTTTTCAGCGTGCTGAGGAACTTCCATGCCATTTCCACATTAGCTTTGTCCATCCCTATGCCACCAAAGTCTGCAAGAGTTACTTTTTCTCTGTGTCCTCACCAACACTTGTTATTTCTCATCTTTTTGACACTGGCCATCCTAATGGGTTGAAGTCTTACACTCAAGTCCTGAACCCATTTCGAGTTAATTTTTTTGCATGCTGTAATTTAGGAATCCAGCTGACTTTTGCTTCTGCACACGACCAACTACTTTCCCAGCACTGTGGAGGAAGAGGTTGTCACTCCTCGCTACAGTGCCGGCTCAGATCATCTCTGTACCATCTCTTATTTTATAAAAATAGTATGCCTGGGGCCCTCCCTGGCGGCACAGTGAGTTAAAGCACAGCACTATGAAGCTATCTGCAGCACGAGTTCGATCCCCAGCCAGGGAGGGACCCGCAGGACACAGCAGACCCCTCCTGTCTCCCCGCTGCTCCCCTCAGCAGTGGGTTTCAGTCCGTCTGCCTGTTCTGCTCCCCGCTCTGTCTCTGGGGAATCCTCTTGCCCCCGCACCTCTGGCCTGTACCCAATTTGTGTATGCATAAATAAATAAATCTTAAAAAAATGTGTGTTTGTTGCAGAATATTTAAGAGGTGCAATGTCTTGCGCGCGTGTGTTTATCAAAGAACGCTACCCCATGTACCCGTGGCTTGAGACATCAGGCGCGCAGACTGGAGGGAGAGCCGTCTCCTTCTTTCCGACTTGCCCAGTGGCCAGTGGACAGCCCTACAGAAATGGCCTTTCTAAAGCTGCCACGGTGTGGTGGGCTCTGACATCAGAGCTTCCTTTACAAAGAGCGGGTGAGGGCCGTTTGTTCCAAGGTCCAGGAGCTTTCTAACCGGAGGGAACCGAGCTCTGAGCTCCTGGCCCGGTGGTGGGGACGGGCCGCCTGCTGTCGGTGCTGCCGTGCGGGAACGCGCTGCTCTCCTCAGCGCGGGTGTTTCCCGTGTCCGTGCCACAGCCTGCGCAAACAGGCGAGGCCCCAGAAGCACCTGCTCTCGTGGTGCCGCCGACCCTGGCACTTCGCTTCCTCACGCTCCTGCTGCCCGGGTGATAGAGCCCCCAGGGCCACCTTGCGTGCCCCAGGGGCCTCCCGGCTGCAGGGAGGAGTTGGCAGCTACTCATGAATGAGCCAAGCGCGCTGCAGCCCTCTCTCAGGCTCCTTCAGCACAAGCTTGTCCGGTGGCTTTCACCTGGGCAGCGCACCCGAGAGGCTCTGGAAATCCTGGGACGGCTGCAGGAGGGAGGTGCCTCGGCCTCTGGGTCGCGGCCACCAGCGAGGCCACTGGGCCGCCCCCAGGCGCAGGACGCCCTGCACCCAGCGTGAACCCCAAGTGCGACCCACCCTGGCTGGGAGCCCTGAGCGCCGTGCCACAGCGACGCCGCTGCTCAGCGCTCGCCACCTGCTGCTGGACGCTGGCGAGGTCGGGAGGCTGGCCGCAGGCCCGGTGGGCGCTCACGCCCACACCCTCCACTCGACACGGGGGCGCCTCGGAGCGTTACCTGCACTCGCTCTTCTCCTCTGTGGCGGGCAGGTGGGCAGGTGGGCATGACTGAGCGCTGCAGGTTCAGCACCAGGAATGTGGTCACGTGGGCGACGCCATGCCCGCCGCCCAGCTCGCCTGCCCATCACCTGGTCCCGTTGCTGACCTGGGCCTTAGTTAAGATGCTCCCCTCGGGCCTTCCCAGGTAGCCGCAGCCGCTTCCGAGCGAGTCCCATCCCGCCCGGGGGGTCCCCAGGGCGCGGCCGACCCCTGCTGCTCCCCTCAGCAGTTATTTTAGTCTGTCGGCCTGTCCTGCGCCCCGCTCTGCCTCTGGTGACTCCTCTCACCGTGCACCTCTGGCCTGCGCCCCGCTCTGTGTGCACAGGTAAGAGCAGGCGCCCCGCTGCCTGGCACCTCCAGCAAAGCAGGGCGGGCCCTTGGCCCCAGCACCTGCTGCTCGCCTGTCCCTGCTCCTGTGTGTCCTCGGCTCCCTGCGGCAGCACCTCGCTGTCATCTCTTGGGGCAGGCGGGGTCCCACCTGTCCTAGGGGTTCACGGCAGAGGGAGCTGTGATGTCTCTGGACTAAAAAGTCCACTCTTAAGCCAAGGGAAGAAAAAAAAAAACTCTTCAGTCTAGTAGAGTCAGATTTATAGTGCAGCCTGGAAAGACCTTTTTCCTTTTCTTCTAACTCAGGACGACCACGAGCCATGAGTAGCCACCGGCCACCTTCTCAGGGCAGGGAAATAGCTCCTGCTCGCCTCGCTGTCCAGCCGACGGTCCTTAGCTAAGGAGCCCCGCCAGAGCCCCGAATGTGCCTAGTGCAAGAGAACAGCGTCTTCAGTTTTACGTGCACTGAGAAAGTCCAAGTTGAATCAGCCACAGCTGGCCCTGCCCGCCACCCGGCCCAGGCCTACCACCCCACCCCGGGGGGTCGGGGCAGCAGGTGGGGCTGCCGGATGCCCTCTGCCCGGCGCTGTGGGCCACGCGAACCCCGCCACGTGCCTTTGCGAGGCGCTCGGGGCCTCCACGCCCATTCGCGGTGAGGACAGCCGTGCGGGAGAGCGGGCGGG